ATCAAGTTCCAAAGGAGCAAATCGATAGTGCGAATTTTTGTCCGGCATTTTAAAAATTAGACTTTTCGGATCTTGTTTGAGATTTACACGAAAAACGCGTTAGAATAACTATTGATTAACAACTTGAAACCACAAAATTCACGAACACGATTGAAAAGTATGCTGATGACCTAATAAAGAAGAAACGAGATATTCCGATAAGCCAGAAACGAAGAAACTCGCCACAAAAAACATCTCAGGATAATGAGAGATGATGAATGAGAAACGCTGAAGCTGCATATTTCGACTTATATAGCTGTAGATAAGGTGTATTAAAGCTACTAATTATCAGTGATAATTTCAATCGATTTGCTACTTCTGCATTAATAAAATTAGCTGTATTTTTACGTAAAAACGCGATTCTTTTCTTCTCACTTAGATCCAAGAACTGCGTCAAGGTAACTATTTTTACTGTGTTTTTTTTAGTAAGAAACTGTATAAAAGTGATAAGGAATCTGTGAATTTCTACTAAAACTACGCGCTTTCAAAGACAACCCTTACAGGGTAAAGAAACGCAACTACGAGACGCAGAACTGTATAAAAAGCGCCCAAAATAAGGCAGCAAGCAAATATGAATTCCTACCACTGTCATTTAGCCTTTAACACAGTGCCCATGCATTGCTTTTTGATAAGAAAAACGACAGAGAATTTTTAGTTATCTGCTTTTTAACTGTCCTCCCCCTATCCAGCGCCTCAAAAACCAATAGCAAACAACTCTTTTTACACGGGAACCGCTACCATAATGCAATCAGAAAAAGCCGGGAAGCCAAAAGCAGGAATGCCAAAACAGGAAATCTCATACAAAATTGCGGGACCATGAAGGAGATGGAGGAGAGTTGGAAGATATTTGCAGCGAGCAAAAAGGCAAATCTGTGGCTACCGGTCCCTCAATAAGCGCAAAAAATTACTGGAAAATGTTGCGCCGAAGAATAAAGCATTGTCAGTCTGATAAAAGCAACAGAAGCTAAAGCAGTAACCTTGTTGTTAGTGTGCGATGTGAGCTTAGTGTGCGTTTGGGAATCTACGCCTGGAGCGGCCGTAACAACGCGCTTTTCACCGATACCATCCAATGAAAGCGTAATGGTTAGTGTTCCACAAGGCAGCTAAATGAAAATGAAACAGAAAACGAAAGCAAAGAGAAATTTAGCAGAAGGTAAATCCAGAGAGCATACCAAAAGCACCCAAGTGCGCAACATTAGCTATGACTTTAAATCGCTGTTAATAAGCTGTTTTCGTTTTTAGCGCGTTACAAGCACATTTGAAAACACATGAATTGATCTTCCATGAAAACCTTGTTGCGCAGTTTTTATATATTGTTTTGCAAAACACGGTAATAACTTGTATACTACGACTGCGCGGAAAAACTGCGCGGGAACCCCATATTAATAATGCTACTGTGATGCTTTAGTTACCGGGCACAACTATCTCAGGCCTTCGATCCTAAGCTGCAAATCTCCAGATGGCACGCATTGCCTGCTAGGTATATGTGCCCAACTTCTTCAAGAACTCCCCAAGTGGTCGTTCGCTTTCTCGTCGATATCATTCACAGTAGCAGTTATCGGCGAGGATAATAAAATAATAACAGTCCTGTTCATCCGGTGTTATTTCTTCGCTTGGTCGCAATAACACCTTCGAAAGCCGTTCATCTAACGGAGCGTATGACTGTTTTTAATTCAGAAAAATTTCTTCCCATTTCTCTCCCACACTATCAACGTTCGCTCTTCTACTTTCCATCAATGAATATATTTCGCAGACATAAATAATCGTTGCTTCAAAATTCCGTCACTGATCAAATTTCGCGACCACACGTCACTGCTTTCGGCACAGTAAAATTGGGTACGGTCCTTCCGATTCGATATTTTAAGAGCTTCAACAATGTTTGAAACTTGCGCTAATCGTCAGTCTTTCACGTGCGATTTCCTACTGGACATTGTGGCGTATATTTCTGACCAAAACAGACATAGCTATTAACTTCTTCCAAGTCAATACAGTCTTCCTGCAATCTGGACATGGCCAAATCAACACTTTTGCATCGCCTTCTTCAGGCATTAATTTTCAGGCTCACTTCCTTACTCTGTGTGTTATGCGCCAACACCATTTCATTCCATTCGGAAATCTAAAGTCGATCAGAAGCAGTAAAATAGATTAAAAATTTACAGCGCAAAGAGCTAAATCAGCCCAACAAATATTCTGCCCAATCTGCCACAGCGATAGCAAGCGCTTCTACTTCCTTTTGAGTAATAAACAACGGAGCATCTGTTTCAGAAAAAAGAGGAATGTAAAAAGACGGGCTGAAATGGTAATTGTGGAAACGGGGAGCGGCGGTGGAGTGAAAAATGATGGATAAATGTGAAGAGAGGAAATGGAA